GAAGGAACGAGGAAGAGGAGAAAGCTGGTGGAGGACGAGGACGGCTTTGGGGAGCTGTGTCGGTCCGGAGAGGCGCGTCCTGGGCTGAGTTCGACGGAGGAATCGACGTTGTCGCCGTCGTTGTCATCATATCATCATCATCATCATCATCGTTATCATCATCCATCATCATTATTATCATCGTTATCATCACCATCATAATCATGACCGCCATCATCACCACCACCATCATCATCACCATCATCGGCATGATGTTATTACTATTATTCATCCAGAGGATATTTTTTCTGAACTCTAATCGTCATCATCGACATCAACGTCAATATTGATACTAAGGATAACATGGCCAACAGGAATCGTCAACATTTCATTCCACTTGTCACCAATTTTAATGCGATCTAGAGAAATACCGGTAATAAAAATGATAAAAAAGATCAAGTACCCTTTCATTCGTAAATATTGAAGGACAAACCTACTACTTCAAAATATATATACTGTTCTCGACTTCTCTTGTTTTTTCTTCTTCTTCTATTGTTATATATGTATATTACTTGTTCCGTCTACTGCCTTTAATTCGATCTATCAGAGCTTTACGAAAGGATATTTTCTGCAATGTTTTGGCGAGACGACAAGATTCAGGAAAGGTGGAATTTGAAATCACTCGCTCTGATATCAGACATCTCTCTCTCTCTCTCTTTTCTCTTTCTTTTTCTTCTCTTTCTCTTTCTCTTCTTCTCTTTCTTTCTCTTTCTTCTCTTTCTCTTTCTTCTCTTTCTCTTTCTCTTTCTTATCTTTCTATTTCTCTTTCTTATCTTTCTCTTTCTTTTCTTTCTCTTTCTTATCTTTCTTTTTCTCTTTCTTATCTTTCTTTTTCTCTTTCTTATCTTTCTTTTTCTCTTTCTTATCTTTCTTTCTCTTTCTTTCTTCTCTTCTTCTCTCTCTTTTTTCTTCTCTTTCTTTTTCTTCCCTTTCTTTCTTTTTCTTCTTTCTTTTTCTTCTCTTTCTTTCTTTTTCTTCTCTTTCTTTTTATTCTCTTTCTCTTTCTTTTTCTTCTTTTTCTTTCTTTTCTTTCTCTTTCTCTTTTTTTTCTTTCTTCTTTTTCTTCTTTCTTTTTTTTCTTCTCTTTCTCTTTCATTTTCTTCTCTTTCTCTTTCTTTTTCTTCTTTTCTTTCTTTTCTTTTCTTCTCTTTCTTTTCTTCTTTCTCTTTCTCTTCTTTCTTTTCTTTTTCTCTTTCTTATCTCTCTCTTTCTCTTTCTTATCTCTCTCTTTCTCTTTCTTATTTCTCTCCTCTTTCTCTTTCTCTTTCTTTCTTTTTCTTCTTTCTTTTTTCTTTCTTCTTTCTTTCTTCTTCCTTTCTCTTTCTTATCTTTCTATTTCTCTTTCTCTTTCTTATCTTTCTTTTTCTCTTTTTTCTTCTTTTTTTCTTTCTTTTTCTTTTTCTTCTCTTTCTTTCTTTTTCTTCTCTTTCTCTTTCTTTTTCTTCTCAATCTTACTTATCTTTCTTATCTCTTTCCTCTTTCTCTTTCTTTCTTATATCTTTCTTTTTCTTTTTCTTTCTTTTTCTTTCTTTTTTTCTTTTCTTTCTTTCTTTCTTTTTTCTTTTCTTTCTTTCTTTTTCTCTTTCTCTTTCTTATCTTTCTTATCTCTCTCCTATTTTTTCTTTCTTTCTTTTTCTCATCTTTTTCTTTTTCTTCTCTTTCTCTTTCTTCTTTCTTTCTTTCTTCTTTCTCCTTTCTCTTTGTTTCTTTCTTATCTCTCTCTCTTCTCTTTCTCTTTTAGGACGTGAGGAAAAAAAAACAAAACCCAAACAACAGTGTACCTTGTGCTGTCTGTGTGCTGCTGACTGTGAGAGAGTGTGTGAGAGAGTGAGAGTGTGTGAGAGAGTGAGAGAGTGAGAGAGTGTGAGAGAGTGAGAGAGTGATGAGAGTGAGAGAGTGAGAGAGTGAGTGTGAGAGAGTGAGAGAGTGAGAGAGTGAGAGAGTGAGAGAGTGAGAGAGTGAGAGAGTGAGAGAGTGTGTGTGTGTGTGTGTGTGTGTGTGTGTGTGTGTGTGTGTGTGTGTTGTGTGTGTGTGTGTGTGTGTGTGTGTGTGTGTGTGTGTGTGTGTGTGTGTGTGTGTGTGTGTGTGTGTGTGTGTGTGTATGTGTAGGTAGATTGATAGACGGATAAAAATACAGACATAACGAGAGATCTGTTCAATTTTTCGCAAACATCACATCAAATTATCACATGATTGGTCACACTAACGCCGAAATTTGCTACCAATTATATTCTGGAATGAATCTGTATAAAATCATTTGATATCAGCTTCAGTTGTACCAAAATATCAAAATATAGCCCGCCCAACGTCCTCCGTGAATTAGTGAATTATGAAATAATTCAACATCAAATTTTAAAGACTCGTCCACATTCATTTTATGTTCAAATTTAACGGTTTGTTTCACACTCCTCCTCCTCTTCCTGTTCTTCTGAGTCTGCGATTTTTTTCCTTTGGTTTATATTATTGCTTCTTTGTTATGGTTAATTTCCGATTCCCCTCTATTTTTTACGTCTTTCTCTCCCTTTCTCTCATGAGTCTCTCTCTCGACAGATTTTCAAGATACTTTTTTCATTCCTCTTCGTAAAGTGTGGTAGTTTTTTCCTTGATTAGTAATCCTATTTTGTATTTTTCACAAGTTGGAGATTTATTTAAGACTTCAGATTTTGTCATCATCGTTGTTAATAACAGTAATAATATTAGTAATGATAATAATAACTAATAATAATAATAGTAATTATTATTATTGTTATAATTATTATTACCATTACTAATATTATTATTAGCATTATCATACATGTGTAAGTATATAGATAGATAAATGGAGATAAATTTATCTAATGGAGGTAGATAAATAAATAGATAGGTTAAGACAGATAGTCTGATAAGATAGATACGTAGACAGGCAAAACAACAGATTAAGACGGACAGATAGATAAAGAAAGCTATATCAAGACCAATAGAAATACAAAAAAGTGGATAGATTAAGACAAATAATTTCCTCTTTGGTAAGGTAAACTGACAATCAGCAAAGTCCCTCGCTCTGCCAGGGATTCAGATGATTATGATGTATACATGTCTTAATTATTGGCCATGGCAAGCCTAGACAATGTTGGAGAAACAGTCCACCTCTCAGGTTCCCATTGAGGGGTAAGGGCTAGACAATTAAAACGGGAATACCGTGCCCATGGCTCCCTCAGGCCATTTAGGACTGGCACAAAGTCAGCCTCTCATCCTTTCATCACATTCTCACACCTTAGGAAGTGGATAGTAAAAGTGGTTAGAGAAGGAATGGGGTTGGAGAAGGAACGGAAGCGAAAAAGGAGGGGAAAAAGACCGTGACCAAAATTAGTTGAGTCAAGGGCTGAGGCCCAAGGTAGGAGAGATCCCTAGCATTAGTCTTCGCTTACTAAGTCTCCCACGAAAACAAAGGGCAAGGGAATGGGGGAATTGAACCAGCAAAAAAAGCTTTTATTCATGAATATTATTTCTCAGAAAATCATTTCCCATTCTCATCTAACTGGTTTCCCTCAAAATGTTAAAATAGAAAGTGAAAAGAAGATAAATGGTTGTTATATTTATTCTTAAAAATCCTGTACAAGAGAGGAATTAAGAAATTTAATTTGAATAAAATCTCATCTAAACTGTAGCACTGATAATGTGATAATTAAATTCATAAGTGCAATTTTTTTACAAATATTTTTTAAGCATTTCAAATTGATACAAAAATCAATTAGAAAAAAATGATACTGGACCATCTGAAGGCTTGCACATCCAAAGGTGTTATCAGAACAACGGCACAATAATGTATTTATCAAAAGTTTTGCTTTTATTAATTCTTTGATCACACTATGTATTTACATTAATGCACTATACCATGACTGTAGTTCAATTAACACCTACCCTCTGTCATTTTCACATACAAATATATATTTTTTTAATCATAATTCATAGAGTATACACAAAAAATAGTGTTGCTCATTCTACACTGTCCACTGCCAGACGTTTTCAAGCCACCTGAAAAGAGAAAATACATGCTAATGAATTGCAACTTTGACATTTGAATCATGTTACAAAATTTCATATGCATCAAATATTGTCCCCTACACCTGCCTATCTCCATGTTTGTAGTTCAATACCTATTATTCTAAAAATAAAATACGTATTTCAAATAACTAAATAAACTGAAGAGAAAACAGGGGTATAATTACTCATTTAAAGCTGTTCACTCTATACATAGCTCACTGTTGTGTGCTTCCAGGCCATCTGGAAAGTGAAAAGTATGTAAATGTCTTGCACTTCAATTTATTGTCAAATCAAAGTACTGAGAACACTGGATCAACTCTTATCAAACATATGACAATATTTCTAATATAATCAACACTAAAGGTTTGTTTTAAATTCAAAATTGGATTACTAGATTTTCTTTTCATTGAATATTGTCCCCAACACCTGCCGATCTCCCTAACATAATCACAACAGTCAGAAATGACTTCCAGCCAGAAGAAACTAGCATGGTGTGCTCAGGGAGGTGTGGCAAACAGAAGGAGGTGCTCTTGTCTCGCACGTCAATGACTCATTCACCGATGATACCCAACCGGTAAAGTTGGTGGGCAAAGCCCCATCAGGTGGATCTAAGGAACGTGCTTCAAGTTCTTTGTGAATCTACCAATTCAGCATTTGAATTTCAATTATCAATGTAAAGCATTTCCTATTTTTCCTAGGTCTAAAAAACATTTATGTAGTTTAATACCTATTATTCTAATAAAGAAAACTTTTCAAATAATCAGATAGACTGAAGAATAAAACAGAGGTTCAAATAACAAGATAAACTAAAGAATAAAACAGAGGTATAATTACCCATTTAAAGCTGTTCACTGCAAACATAGCTCACTGCTGTGTGCGTCCAGGCCATCTGGGAAGAGAAAATTCTATATAAATGTCTTGCAAATCAATCTTTTGTC